ACAATATTTTCCCCAGATGAAAACAAGGAGGTACATACTGATCTTCTGTTCCAAAAAACTTCACGAAGAAGCACTTTTTTCCTCGAGGTTTCTTCAGATCTTTAGGTGGGTTAACAATCTAAAGGCGATTAGAAATCATAAAGCACATAGTGACAAATGTTGTGATTTTACCACCCAGTGTTCAGCTATTATAGATTTTTTTTAAATCTGATTAGGAGAATAACTTGCATTAATAAAAATTTGTTCCACTTAGGTAACCTTAAGAATTTAAACTTTGTCTTTACTCACAGGATAAATTGCTTATCAACTTTAAAATGTTTATAAGGAGAAAAGCTATCATTCAGTTACGAAGTGACAACTGTAGAGGAGCCTGGTGTTAACTTGACCCAATAACCACATGTTTATAGTTGTCAGCCACACTGACTATTCTTTTACCTGACTCACACTGTCACCTCAGCATGCTTAGCCCTCATACAACACATAAAGATAAAATAAAGGACTTTCTGAGAAGTAGAAAGAATAGAAATGGCATATAAAATTCATTTTTTAAAATCTTTCATCTGAAAAAACCCCAACCAAACCAGAAGTAGGATCAAACTACCCCAGATAATTCTCAAAAATGACAGCTCTAAAACAGTATCTTGAGGAACTAGACTCCTTATTTCCATTATTTAACACAGTACTGCTAGCCAACTTACTATGGAAGAAAATAAAAATGTCTTGCAGAAGGTGACAGGGATTAACAACTACATTTGGGAAACACAATCAGTTCCAGAACTGGCTCTCTGTTGGCTTTTCATTCCACGCGAGCAACCAACTCTTACCGACAGACTGAGATAATCTAACAAATAAAGCCCTAAACTAATTCACACTTCAGATTTGTGGGGTAGATGTGTAAAAAAATAAACAAACAAGAAAACCAGTATTAATCTACAACTGAAATGCTTTCAAGCAAAGCTTTCCCTACACAGAAGGAAAACACAAAAAAAACCACACCCAAACTAAAAAAAACACAAACCATTAAAAACTAAGAAAGCAACAATAAATACAAACAAACCTCACCTTCCCTGGCCATGGAGGGTAACGGCCCAGCTTCCCCCTAGAGAAAAAAAAAAAGAAATATTAGGCACTAGAACTAGAGAAAAAACTAACTATCCCAATGTCTGTTTTTTCATATTATGTCACACTTTTCATAATAAGAGAGTTACAATTTGCAGTGAAAACCTTCTGTTCAAGGCAGGACACATCTGCACCTAACTCAGGTCTCCAGACAGTCTGTTTGACCTTGCTGGACTGCCAGAACTGGAGAGAAGAGCAGCAGCAACACTGTCTGAAAGATGCAAGAGTAACAGGCACTGCAGCCCCATAAGTCTGGAGACTGGCACTGATGGAACTTCACATGGAACTGAAAAAAGCACTGATGCAGGCAATCAGACCAAAGTTCACGTTGAAAACTTCTATCTACTATCTAGAGCAGTTGGTGAGCAGAGCAGCCACCAACTCCCAGCACAGAAAGCTGAGGTTCTGATTCATGCAGGAAGGCATTAATAGCACGATCCCCTCAACAGGTGTTCCATTATCGCTTTCTTCAGGTGCTCACCACCACACTAACTGAAGATACGAAGAGCCATAAAAGAAAGGCAAAAAAGCTTACTTTCTACACTTTCAAATGTTTCTATTATGAAAACTAGGCAACACTAGAAATAATCACAGAGGAGGAAGAGACATTAGTCTTAGCCCTCAGCTCACCAGCTTTCCTGGTGAGCTTTATCCTTATTTCACCCTTGTGACTGACTTGTGCTGCAGTACTCACAAAACCCCACTAGTAACTGTCTTGCAAGAGACGGGCAAAGAACCTGTGGGGCCCAACAGCTCCTGACACAAAACTTCTCACCAAGTGGCACTGCAGCCCGCTGAGATGGCAATGCTGCACAGAGGACTCAGAAGCCAGGGGCAGGCAGCAACACTGCCAAGAGCTGTGACCATGACCATGTCTCATATTCAATGCTCCCCATTCCTGTACTGAGAAAAAAAAATCAGCAAACCCTTTCTGCTGTTGCTGTCTGATTGTTAAAGTTCCCTGTGACAGCTCTGGGGACAGGATCTGGCTGTCACGTACAAAAGTAAAGCAGGATAATCTGCATTCCAGCACTGAGAGCAGAACACTCCCCAAATTCTCATCTGAAATAAATATGCTAAAAGTAACTAATCTTTACTTACTTTGCTATATAAATTAGACAACTTCCCAGCACTGTAAATTTTTCAGATGAGAGCTGCAGCTGTCACAGCTTGAAGCACAGGCTTCTTTTTATCTGGGTTATCAGTATAAATGCATGCATTTATTCCCGTGTTGGAAATTAGCTACTTCTCTGAGCTCTGGCAGGACAGCCTAGCCCATCCAGCACAGCAAAACCTATGCACTTAATCGGTGTTTACAGGGCACGGTGGAATGCTCTCACTTCTCTCCACCAGGAAACACAAAATCACAGCTCTGACTATCTGAGGGTAAGATCGCAGTGACAAGGGGAAACGGCTTCTGGGGGTTTCCACAGGGATACCCCAACCTGCAATGAAACGCTGGACTGTTGTGTTGCTTCATTAAAGCATTGTCAAGAAACGGTGCGTAGCCCTCCCTAAACACTTTCTGTCTCTAACCCTTCTCGCATCCCTCGGGAAGTGAGCCCGTGCTTACAAGGGAACCCCGCAGCGCTCGTCCTTCCGTCCCGCTTCCCTCATCCTTCCATCTGACACAGCTTCCGTCATGCGCCGCCCCCGCCAGCCTCCCCAGTGCCGGCCCGGCTCCCAGCCCAGCCCGCCTCCCGCCGGCCCGGTGCCCTGGCTCCGAGCTGCCTCACGCCGCTCCTCCCACACCGCCCAAGGGACGGCGGCGGCGATACCCGCAACCCGGCAGCAGCCCCACCGCTGCGCTGCCCTGCCCTGCTAAGCCCCACCCTGCCCACAGCCGCTCTCCGAAGTCACCACGGGCTGACAGCGCCCAGCGCGGCCCAGCCCGACTCGGCTCCCGCTGCGTCGCCTCCAGGGCCGGCTACAGCCCCGCCTGCGTCTCAGCAGCCGCAGCCTGGTTCCGCTAAAAGCGCCCGGCCCGCCATGCTCCGCGACCGCCGCCCAGCCTGCGCCGCCACTCACCACACCAGATCTCCGAGCCTCAGACTCACGGCCGCCATCTTACCGACACAGACCGGCCGCGCCGCGCGGGGGCTGCCGGGAGCGCGAACGGGGGGAGGGGGCGGTGGCCGTGCCCATTGGGCGGGAGCATCACGTGGGCAGGCGGTCCGTCACGTGTGCGGGAGGGCTGTCAGCGGCAGCCGCCCCCTCCCCCCCCGCGACGCCGGGACGGCGGCGGCTCTCATTGGCGGGCGGGGCGGGGGCGGGGCGGAGGCGGGGCGGAGGCGGGAGCGCAGCCCAGCCCAGCCCAGCCCAGCCCAGCCCGACGTTCTGTCGGGTGCTCCCGGAGCTGCTTCCCCGCCGTGTGAAGCGGCCTTTGCGCGGGAGCTCGATGTGGAGCGCATCGTCGGAAGTGCCGGAAGGAGCGCCGTGTGCCGAGCGCATCCTTGGAAGCGCAGGTGGCGGCGTTACTCTGCTGGGCCGCTCTGGTGGTGGCGGCTGCCGCCCCCGCCCCTGGCGGGGCCCGTGTTTGTGGCCGGGACACCTAAGGGCGCTGCAGCACCTCGAAATTAACAGCGGTTCCCTTGATAGAATTCCTCTTAAGAAGCAGAAACCGAAGGGCTTCGTTGCTGCCGCTGCTCGCTGCTCTCGGACTGCATAGGTATCCCCCGTTAGCCCCGCGGACCCACCCCAGGAAGTGGCGGGTTTGGAACAAGATTTGCGCTCCTTCTCCCGCGCAGGGGGAAACGCCGCGTGTGGCCGGCTGTTGCGGAGCTGCGTCGTTTGCCTGATGACTTGCAGTGTGTGGTGGTGTCTTTCATTTCTGTCCATCCAACAAAGCCAACTCCAAATTTTTTCAAGCATTCTTGTCACCTCTTCTGCTCTGTGGACTCACAGAAACTGACGGGAAGGGGCCTTAAAGGGAAACGAGCTTGATCCTTGTGCTGCACAACCCCTGGGTACAAGCTCCCAACTCTGCACCCTGTAATAAGTGGCTTAACTGCTCTGCTATTTCCCCCAAATTTGTGTGGCTTGAGATCAAGTATTTTATTCTAAACCAGTGTTTCTCAACTTAATCAGGTACCTCCTTCTTACTCCTATGACCCGGTCTTTTCTCAAGAGATGCACCATATTAGTCTTAAGAGCATTGTCAGCCTTTTTAATGCATGGTTTACTTTTTTAGTGTGCAGCACACACGAACACACCACTTTCTCCTCATACATTGATCTTGGCTGCTGGAAAAATCCACTCAGTATCCTGAATGCCTTAACAGCAGCGATGGAATTGCTGTGCTTCCTTTAAGATACGAATTTCAATGAAAAAATAAAAGCCTTCTGTCAGATTTAATTTACCAGCCTTTAGCAAAAATCCAAGGACTGATCTATGCAGTTTTTACTTAAAGTCTAAGTCTCATTAATTACTTCAGTGAGTAATTAAAAGTGTAGCCTCACTGTGCTGGCATTCCATGGCTGGAGCAGCTCAGAGGGATTTGTCTCATTCTGCTACGGAGTTCCATGACCCGGCTGCTGCTGGGGGCCCAGCCTCTGACTGAAGACCTGGGCCAGACCTGTTGCTTTAATCTTCCTGAAACCTGGTTTACTCAAATTTTGAACGTTCCCTGACACAGCTGAATCTGCTCAGATGTTTCTAAACCAGACACTGTTCAGATGTATCTCAACAACCAAGCCCGGCTCCCCCGAAAGCCACCTAGCACATAATACCGTCAGGCCGCGCCGGGCCTGCTGGCACCGGCCGTTCGCACCACAGCGAGGGGTCGCGGCACGCCACGAGCTCTGCGGGCAGCAGCCGGACAGCACCCACTGCGGGCGGCCGGGCCCCGCGGAGCACTGCGGCTGTCCCTGGAGGCGGGTGGGGCGACTTCCGCGGGGCCCGGCGCGGCTTCCGGGAGAGGCGGGAGCGGAGGACCCAGGTGCGGCGCTCGGTTCTGCCCGTTCCGCGCCCTCGGCCGCCGCCATGGGCCGCAAGAAGCTGCACCGACCCATCGCCGCCATGGCCAAGAAGATCCGCGAGTACCGGGCGCTGAAGGATCGGCCGCGGGACTCTCAGCGCTTCGCCGTGGACTACGAGACCATGCGGCGGCCGCTGACGCAGAAACGGCTGCCCGTGCGGGCCTGGGAGGACGTGCGGAACGAGAACCGCCTGTTGGCGCTGCTCTGCCGCCTGCCGCGCTTCGGCGTGGGCCGCACGGTCACCCGCAAGTCCTGGCTGTGGGCGCACCGCGAGCCCTGCTACTGGGTCATCACCAAGGTGAAGGCGGACTACACGGCCGAGGTACCTGCCCCGTCCCGCCCGCCGCGCCCTGCCGAGCTCCCGCCCTCCACCCCGCCGCGACCCACCCTCAACAGGCTCCTCTTTTCTTTCCTTTGCAGAACATGGACCATGGAAGAGCCTGGGGCTACCTGACCTTCAAAGGTAAAACCGGCTCGTTTTGCCACACATGGGGGCAGAGCTAGAGAGCATCGGGTGCGTGAGGGTGGCAGAGAAACCGCGGGCTCCCTGACTGGGAAATTTGTTTTTCTCACATCTTCTAATGGGAAAAGAAGTTCCTTGCGTTTCAAAGGCTGGGAATCTAGCCCCTTCAGAATGTCTTTCTCAGGAATGCTGTGGGAGAGCCAGTGCAGTGTGACCTTGGGGAACAGCAGCACTAAAAGCATATTAGATGAGCTGACAGACTGAGACTTTCAAAGCAAGACACAGTATGAGCATGAGGTTATTCCAATTTAAATTGTCGCTAAAAAGGAAAAAGTACAATGGCAAGTAAGTTGTGTTACTGGAATTTTAAATTAATGATTGGAGTTGTCTGAGTGAATTTTCCTTTTTAGAGTTGCTTTATATTAAGTATATAATTTTCCCTTACTGGAATTACTGAAATAGGACTCATTCAAAGGTTTTTAAGTTGTTGACCACTTCTAACACTTAGTTTTCCAGGAAGCTTTCATCAGTGTAGGGAGAAATTACTCTTGTTCCTTAACCATGGAAATGGAACTTGAGAGAGACAAAGTAAAACTTTAAATTAAGAGGGAGAGTCACCCCTCAGCCAGAACCTGTTTCTATTTCTGTTTCGATTCTCAAGGACAGAAGTGAGATCCTATAGTATAGCAGGGAATAATTTGTCCAGCCCTTTGAAAACTCTTTACTCACGTTTTATAGCATTTTTGGTGCCAAAGAGTCAACACTTGCTGTGTCTGGAGGCAGTTTCATGTGATGGTGTTACCTACTGGTGTTCGTCGTCTTTTCCCAGGCAAAACTGAAGACGAAGTGAGGGAGATTGACAAAGCCATGTACCATGACTGGCGTATAGTGCCCAAACATGAGGAGGAAGCCTTTAAGAAATTCACCCCAGTGCCTGAGGCGACTGTTCGGTTCCTGCCATACCCACCACTGCTCCGAGCCATGATCCTTGCACAGTGGCAGAAGGAAGGAAAACCAATCATGGAAGAGCCAATTATTGACCTAGAGAAGGTCCTGGCCTCTCCCCAAGAGTGGGCTGAGAGAAAAGCTACTGGGACACCGGTATAGAGACTTCTTCAGTGTCTTAAGCATCCCACGTGCTCTCACTGCCTGTTAGAAGCTCAGTGCACAAAGGGTCTTACAGAGCCCCTCTGTGCCCATTGTCCTAGGATGTTTCCAGCTTTCTCCTCAGCCCTGTACAGTCCCCTCATCTGAAAGGGAAGATGCAGATGTATTCAGACTCTTCTTCCATAACTTTGGTTTCAGTAAGCAGAGGGGTCTTCTTGGTTCCCTGGATAGTCTCTAAATACACAGCTTCAGTCAGCCAGCTGCAGTTCTTTGGAGCATAACATTTTTCATATAACTTGGGTCCTGCACGAATCACAGAAAAATGACTGTAAATATCACAGTATTTCACAGAGCTGTGAAAAAAATGTATCTTCAAATGGAAATAAATGTTTTCTTAATTCTGCAGCACAGTTCTAAGAAAAACCTTTTTTTTTTTTTCAATGCTGAGACATCCTGACAGCGAAATGGAGAGCCATTAGCTCAGGCACAGCATCTGGTTCTCTGAACACTGCAGAATGATCTGGGTTACTAGCATATGAAGGCAGTGAACAAGAAGTGAGGAACACGACTTCAATACTAACATAATCCAAAGCTAGCCATCTCTTACTCCCAAAGATGGCTGTCAGGAGATAGAGGAAATTAATTTAGGTCTGGTGATGCAAAGGAGGTGGGATTGGCCCTTACCGTTTGAAGCCAATTGGAAATTACCCTGTTCCAGGGCAGCATGTTGTGAACATTAAAACATGCAGCTCCTGAGCGCAGTTCATGGTATTTCACCTTCTCTTGCAGTGGCTGCGGATGCTGCTGCTGTGTCAAAGGCTGTTGGAGGGTCTGGTCTAGGTGTGGGTGAAGGGGCACAAGAGCTGTTCAGCTCTATATATCAATTCCCAGCGGAAGTAACTGTTCAGTTCCTGTGTCTGCAGGTAGTCAGGAGGTGGTGTTCCATTTACTGCAGTATCCTGAAATCACAAATAGCCTGAAGGGATTTAGTGGAGGAGAGCACAGACTGGAATCTACTCCACCCAGTGTGTGTGGCCTAGATGAAGCTGGGAACATGTGGCCCCAGCCAGCAGGAAATGACTGTCTTCAGGCAGGAGTGCAGAGATTGACATTGGCTACCTGTATTTCCATAGGGTTCCCTCACAAGAGGCTCCTGAAGGGTTAAGATGCTATGAGGTATGAAGGAAGTCTTTTCTCGAGTTAAAAGCTGGTCCTGTGACAAGGAGCAGAACTGAGCCTGCCTTGTTGGCAGGAGCACTGCAGAGCATGTGCCAGATCTAGTTCTCTGGCTTCAGAAGGAGAGGGAGCATCAGGAGTAGTGCTAAAGGCACAATTTGAGGCTGTGAGCCTTCCCATGGCAGTTGCTGTGGCTGGAAGGTAGTTTGTCTGATTCCTATAGTCTCTGCTGCTGGGCACTGAGGTGAGATGTTGCCTTCCTGACAACACCATGATTGAGGTACTACTGAACACAAACCAAGAACAAGGGAGATTGAAGGGAAGTGTAGTTGTGAGTCGGATGGGATGAGTAGAACAGTCTAGTCCTCTGTTCTGCACAGCTGTGATCTAAATGTAGAACCAGCAGAGGAAGTGTCACCCTGAGGGGACACACACAATGACCACAGTGGGCAGACCCAAGTGCTGGTCACAGCAGCCCCAGAAAGGCAAGAAATGACCCATGATCAAAGTATACCAGCGAGCCAAGCCAGCAGCAAAAGCAGATTGAGCTGATTAGGCACAGACTCACCCAGCAGCTTGGGTGAGGTGGGATCTCTGAAAGATGATGTAGTCAAAATCCAGCCCCCTGGGTCCAAGGAATCGATCCAGGAGTGGCTGGAGATCGACACAGTTACATGTTGAAGACCTCAGGTCGTGCTTCAGTGATGCTCCTGGGCCATAGGAGGAAAGGGCTACTGTACAGGTGGGGGTCTAGGTGGCACTTACCACAACAGTCAGGACCTGCTGGTGAGCTCAGGGTCATGAAATGGAGAAATGGGTGTCTTCTCACAGAACCCTAGGCAGCCTGGGAGCCTTACCCTGATAGTGAAGGTCCCTTCTGGGAAGCTGCACAGCCTGTTTGCCATGTGTTGGATTTCCATGCCCAGAACATGCTGTGAGTTCTGATGAGCCTCTCAAACTTGTACATTTCCTCACAGATTGTTTACCAACCAGGGCGGATTGTTTGAAGGGTGTTGGCAGTAACCTGCTTCCTTAGCCACCAGACATGGCTGTATTACACCCAGGGCCCTGCTCAAACTGCTCCTGGCTGTTTCAAAGGGTGCAGCCCCAGGGATTTAGGATGGGTCACAGCACATGTTTCCAAATCTCATTGTTGAGGTGCTTGCATTAACTGCACAGGCATTGCCAGTTGTACTGCACCCTGGCCTGTGCCACACCACAGTGCATGTGTTGGTCACAGAGGTGACTCACCTTAGGGCTCCCTGCTTGGGGCAGAAGATGCTCCTCTCCAGTCTTAAGGACATGGTTCATTGCCATGTCTAGACCCTGAATCAATGCAATTCTACAAAATAACTGTGAAGGTGTCCAAATGCTGCTGGGACTGAGAGGCTCCCTGCAGTCGAATTATGCTGATATCACCGATGCTATGGGACTGTGAAGTGCCACCCTGTACAGTGTTGAAAACTGACCTGATGTGTTATCCCTGGCAGTTCACCTGAAAGGGCCACCCTGACTAAACTTCCAGCAACCCAGCAGCTTCTGTGCTCCAGCTTCTATTTCTGAAGTTGTGCCACCTTACATTTCCACCTTTTATTTTTACTGCTGATACAAGCTACAGATTGCACTGTTGCTTGCTAGACCAGCCCCTTCTGCTCCGACCCCGTGAGCCATCCACATTTCATTTCCTGACACTGAAATGCTCAACAGGGAACACTTGAGCTACATTCCCAAGACCGAGCAGCAATCCCAGTGCCTTCACAGGAAGACAATATGCTGCTCAAGGTGATGTTAACATGTTTATTACATACAGAACAGATACGGTTTGTTGTTGACAGCATAGGGGACAAAGCACGGGAACATATTCATACAGCAGGCTCTTTACAGAATGCCATCTTCAGACCAAACAGCGGAGTTTACAGGCCTTAAGACACTTTTAAAAATCATTTTGTAACATACAAGATACTTTACATACATCACAGTGGAGATATGACAGAGAAGCGTACTGAAGCCAGTTAGTTCTCACCTTGATGCCCAGCAGCAACCCAAGGACACAGGAGCTATCAGCAGAGGCTGGGTCTCCCCCCTGCAGCTGCCCCTGGGCCATGTGCTTCTCTTGGAGGAGCACATGGCATTGAGCTGGAAAGGAAATCTGATGGGAGATTCCCATGTGTTGTTAGGGCCCAGTGGGTGTCAGGAGATCAAGTGCTGTCCCTTCAATTGCTCATACCAGATATAGAACAGTTGGTGGTACAAGTGTTGCAATTCTGACTTTCCTATAAAAGAATTGACAGAGTTAAGGAACTGAACCCTACCAGGGCTTCTTTTTCCCTTCAACTAGCCCAGATTCTGAAATTTGCCTGGCCCTAACTGATGAACTATTACATAACAGTGGAACCTGTGCTCTAAATGTTATATTGTTTACTTCAAAGCACTCTGTGTTGGGATCCAAAGAGGTCTTCCTAGCAGAAAGCATATGGCAAAAGTGAATGAGAAGCCTGGCATGGTCAGCAGTGCCCCAGCAAAATGTCTCTGGTGAAAGGTCCCCCACCATGCAGGTGGTGGCTCCATGTGTCCCTTAGCCTTGTGCCAGTCACAGAGTCCAGTATGCATATGGCTGGAAGATGCCCTCCGGCTGGATTCCTGCCTTGGGGAGGAGTGGTGTGATGGGTGCATGTCACCAGCACTGCTCACACGCAGCACGGGCACCACTATGGCTGGCTGAGACCTCTGAGACCAGCGATGTCTCTTGCCTTCTCTCCGGCTGGATTCCTGCCTTGGGGAGGAGTGGTGTGATGGGTGCATGTCACCAGCGCTGCTCACACGCAGCACGGGCACCACTGTGGCTGGCTGAGACCTCTGTTCACCAGCGATGTCTCTTGCCTTCTTGCAGGGAAAATGTATGCCACAACCTTGCCTGAACTGTGGATACAAAAATTGTTTAGGTGCTGCTGTGTCAAGAGAGATGCCACATGTTAGAGCATCCCCAGGGAATATGGCATCCCTGCAGGACACTGGGATCTGCTAGCCTGGTCTATGGCAGCAAGCACAGGACACAGCAGGGAGCTTTCCAGGAGATGGAGGCTTGCCCAGTTGTCCCCATACTGTCACAAGGACATCTCTGTGAACCCTGGAGTGCTGTACAGGTCAGGCAAAAAAAACAAGAGGATCACCAGGAGCTTCCAAATTCATCACTAACAAATACAACTTGCCCTACTCCTGCACACACAGAAAAGAATGTTTCAAGGGACACAGAATTTGTCCTTGTGGGACAGTGTCAGAAAGGGAGAGCACACCATTGCCTCTACACCTGGAACTTTCATATTCTGCATCTTGAGTTCAAAACCACTCTCCCTGGCCCCAATTTTTGCTGCTTCTTTTGTAAGCAGGATTCGTATTTGCAATCACTCAGCATTGCATAGATAGAAAGGGCTATCACGACTTTTCTTGGGGGCTGTAATTTTTTTCCAGGAGTCAGAAATTTCCAGCTTTTCAAACTTCTTACTAGCATAGTCAGTGCTTGTGATATTACGTAAAAGATGTCAGGAATCTAGCCTCAATTCTTTTTGTGTGTGACATCAGGTGAGACATAGCCTTGACTGCACTTGTCCTAACCAACTGCCAAGTCTCTGTTTTCCAAGTCTCTGTGAAAAGAGATCTCCTTCCAGCATGTCCTAAAAAGTAGACACAGCCTTGAGATGAGGCAGTCTCAATGTGTTAATGCAGAACTCACAGCAGATCAACACCATCTGTCCTCATCTGTCTTTTAAAAGCCACCAAATGCAATGCAGAGATAACCACCACATGAACTTTTCAGAATGAACTCAGGAATTCTTTTCTGTATGGCTTTTTTGGAAGGGAGAGTTAAAAGCCTCGCCTTTTCTTTAAAAAGCAACACTCTGTTACCCTTTTGCTACTATGGCTGTTTGGCCTTGACAATCAAACACCTATCTTCCATCTGAGCTCACCAAACAATTCCCTTGGCACACATACAGGCAGGCACCCAGTACAGGACTGCTGAGGCAATAGCAGCAGCAGAGGAAGGGACTTTCCCCCAGAAAGATGGAGGATGTGATCCCCACATTAAAGGTGCTGCTGCCTTCTCCAGCCTCAGCTGAAGTGCTGCTGAAACCATGATGCTCTTTGGAGGCTTCCTTGGACCCTTGGTTGCTCTAAGTCCAGAGGATGTTATTCTGTGCTTAAGGGTGAATAAGGATAAGATGAAGAGTCTA